CATTCCCGGTTGATTGTGCAAATCCATATCACAAAATTGCCCATCGATTCCTTTTTTTCCGTTCGACGACGACGGGTGTGCTTTCGCGAGAGTGACGTTTATTGGATCCGTTTCTTTGCACGGTTTTTTTTTTTAACTAGCGTAAGTGTGCCTGCGATTTGAATTGAGTGTCGAAGATTGTGAGTAAGCTGAAGGATGCCTTGCTGGATGCGGCCAGGACTGAACGGGTGGTGACTGGTGGCGTGAACAGTTCCTGGGGGAAGCACAAGATGCGACCCTCCTCTCAGATGACCATGGAAATACAGGAAGTTTTACAACAAAGGTAATTGCTATTAGATATTTTTGCAAACAGTGATAGATAGCGGACATGAAGAACCGGTGGAGGTGCCAGGCAAAGGTGTTATATCCTAGACAAATGATAAGTTACAAATTCGCTGTTGTCACTGTCGTAATCGCCGTCGTGGTCGCCGTAGGCAGTACCGTTGGTATATTTAAAATTAACCATCAACCGCTGAAAATATGAATTATTGCGTATTTCTGTCGTTCATTACACGCCAAGTGAAATTCGAGAACGTAATTTTATTTGAATAGCTTGCTTAACCAGGTTTTAAACAATCGTCATACTGAGCAGAAAAACGCGGTCCCAGGTCCTTTCATATTAAAAATGTAGGGTAAGATCGCTTATTTATCGTGTATTTTGTAAAAATTTTCGTTGTCGTCGGTGCCGGGTTTGAATAGTTAAAAAACTTGAGTAACGCTATAATGTGATATGAGGGGCTCGGTGGCCTTAGAGCAACCAGTTTTGCTTACTGGGCAGAACATCATGAGTCTAATCTCAAGCCCATCCACATTCAAGATTCTTCAATCGTTTTATTTGTTAACATAACTACAGCAACTCGATGATTAAAAAGGAGCTCGTCTGCCTAGTGGCAAACGTTTTTGACCGTGGGTTCAATCCCAAGTTCCTTCACGTCATATGATTCAGCTTATCGTTTACCAAAACTAACCTTGCTGCAAACCCAACCCTATTACCCAATATCCCAGTGATTCCTCGTGGAAGTGCAGAGGTGTTCTCGACTTCAATCAAAGCGAGTGTCAGGCCAACACATTCCTTTCATGACCTGTTTTTGGGCGCGGCCGGCGCTGGTATTACCTAGTTTGAGATCTCCAGTTTTTACACATTGAGGATGATTGCTAGTCCCAAGCATCGTCTATTGGTTCTCTGTGTAATTACAGCTGGTCTAGCAATAACAGCATAGCAACCGTGGGCGGTCAATCATGCTCATGTTCATTAGACTGATGCAAAATTTGACTTTTTCGCTCCACAGTGCTTAAATGGTTTCAAATCGGGTCCTCATTAGCCTCCCAAAGTTACAACTCATTTGGTTAGAAACAGACTTCACACAAGCCATTTGAAGTTTACATGTAAATTACTATGGGAAATCTCAACTTTTTGTTCATTGCCTTCTTGTCTTTTTCCATATTGAGCTGCGAAACAGTTCGATAGCCATTCTTATCGAAAATTTTCTCAGCTACAACTTTGCTGAAAATAGTTTCTATGTAAAACGAGACAGGGAAAAGTTATTAATTATTTAAGAGATTGGTAAACTTATGACATGATCAAGCAGCTGCTCTGTAGGCAACACTGTATTTTGCAGTGTGACATAGTAGCCATGATTTTTGTGTCCTATTCAATGCCCCACAAACACCAATGTTGCCTGCTGAGCAGTTGATTGAGCATGATCATAAGACATCAGCGCATTGAACCATTGATAACTTTCGATCCTTGCATTTAATCAAAAAGTGGTCTTGAGCAAAGTTGTAGCTGGGAAAATTTCCTACAAGCACAGTTAAAATTTTTTGAAGCAGACTTATATGGTGAATTATTAGGTAGACATGAACAAAAATCTTGATTTTACCATAGTAATTCCCATACAAATTTCAAATGGTTTGTGCTATCTCAGTTTCTCATCAAATGGGTTCAAATTTTCAGGGGTTAGTAAGGATCTGATTTGGAATCGTTAAAGTATTGTGGAGCGAAAATTTCAAATTTTGCATCACTCTAATGTTCATGCTCAGTTACCAGTCAAAATAATACTTGGCCATTGTCTTGATAAAATATCCAAAGTACTCTAAGGTTTTTGAAATAATTTCTGACTATCCTCTATTGAACAATTGGAGATCTTCAGAGCAATTCTTTATCAAATTTACAATCTAAGGTTAATATTCTTAAAGTAAACATATATGAGTTTCATAAATTCCAGATCGCGGCTAGCCAAAATATCCCGAACTGGAACTTTAGGTTGTCTACCTCGAGCCCGAAGGGAATCATAAAAATGTGAATTTACCAATTTGTTGAGAGAAGGAGTTTAACGAGAAAAACTTAAAAGAGGAGGAGCTTTAGCTGGGTGGATCCTGATATTCTGCGGCCTTCCAACCTATACAGAACAGATACCAGTTCAACCCCTGTCCAACAGCAGACGGGCCGAGACTTTTGCGAGTTGCCAATCATTAAATCGAAGAATATGGGGTTGTCCCGTCCGATTTACTGATCCAGCTGCCTACACGTCATCATCATCATACAAAGACTTTAAACCTGTACTACTATCGGCCCTTTTCAGGGCCACCAATATTTTCAAAAAATTGTTAAATTTCTGAACATGCCCCAACCAAAATTTATATCAAAAGGTTCTTTTCCGGGAAATCATAGTCATTTCATGGAGTATAAACAGAGAGAACCCCGCTCAAATTACTATTCCTACACAAAACACAAGCTCTTGCTGCAGTTAACAAATAACATGGTGGTGTTGAGTACTTGGCATTGATGAAGTCTGCAAGTAGTAGACGAAATACGCATATCTGTCAAAAGATAAGCAATTATAACGGAATTTAAAGGAAATAAACCAACCCACTCAAAGCTCTTCATAAAGGGATTCCGTTAAGAGGTTCGACAAATTTAAAGGATTGAACATTTATTAATTATATAAGATCATGTAGTCCTACGTTACCTTTGCGTACAACCCAATAGGGCTGTCCGTTTGTAGTTTTTGGAGAGCAATTAACTGAAGTTCTTTGAAATAATTCTTGATGAACCTGATGTCTTGACAAAATATCCAGAACGCATTATGCAGTTAAGTTAAGTTTTCTTTATTAGGGAGGTTTTCAGCCTAGAGCTAGTTCTCCTCCTGTATCACATAATGCAGTTCTTTGATCAATTGAAGCTTTAAGGAATAATTATGAATCAACCTGTTTTATGATAGAAATATCTTAGAAACATGATTTGAAATACAGAATGGATGAAGATCTACAAAATAATACCTGATAAACTAGTAGTCTGGAATAATAATCCAGAGAACTATATGATATCTACGAGACATGCTAAGAATTGCTAAAATATCCAGAGAACATTGTGCAAGTATTTGACCAACTGAAGGTCATTACAATAATTCCTGTTCATCCTGCTTTCTGAAAAACATATGAGATTATTTGATTGTTGGATACCTCCAGATTAAAACCTGATCGTTTAACAAAAATACAGAGAACATAATGCAGGTGTTTGACTGCCGCTCATCGCAAGTCGGTCCCATTAGCGTTTTTGTCAAAACTGTTTTTTTTTTCAATATAAATGGTAGCTAATCACACATATTTTCATAATACTGGATGAACTCAACAATTTTGTTCTGGAAAAGTTTGCACGAACAGCAGAATGGGTTGTCCCTTTGCATACTTAAAACGCGTTTTTCTCGGCTTGTTTGTGCTATGGAACGGACTTGCCATGAGCAGCAGTTGATCATCTGATGGTCTCTGGAAAAAATGCCTGATCACCCTGCGAGAAGAATATCTAAAATACATGATTTATTGAACCGTTAAAGATCTTCAGAAAAATATCTCATTAACCATATGAATCGCCAAATTATCCAGAGAACATTATGCAGGTTCTTGAACCTCTCAAGGTTTTTGGAATAATTTTAGAACAACTTAATTTCTTCCGATAACATCTTATAGACATGGTTTGTTTGATTAAACAATTAGAGATCTTCAGAAACAGGCAGAATATTCATAATATTTTCTGAGCCACCGGGAATCACGAGAGAACATCCAAGAGGCGTTAATTGAAATGGTGTACCGTTGACACAGTCACGAGAATAATAGCAAATTTGTGAATTCCAAGATATCAAGAATGCATATTTTAATTCAAGGGACGTTTAGCAGCATTTCACCCCCTAAATAAGCATCCCGTCGCCATAGTAAACAAAGTCCCAAACCGAGAGGACCCAGTTGGTATCGTCGCTCACAATACTGGCTAATGCATTTCCACTTCCACCTGTAATGCAAGTAGGTAGGTAGACATGTGACTGCATTTGGTGAGAGGTGACGTTGTGAAAAAAAAGAGAAAAATGAAAGTGGTCGTCGCACTTCCTCCCTCCACAATTCACTCTCACTGAGGGAGATCCAATCCACTGCCATCGATGAAGAGTCGTGGATATTCAGTGCGCGTGATACACAGCTCAACGGCGTTGCGATCAGCAGCGGAAGGGTGAAGTAGTTTGACCAGTTTTTAGCAACACACCCATACACTTTGAGCTACAGAGTTTCATAAACGTCGCCCCTTGTGGTTGGCATTTAGATGGAGTCCAACGATGGGACAAATTTGTCAGCACTGCGTAGGTACTTGCTGGGTTGATGAATATTCAAATTGGTCGACTGTCGATGATAAGGAATGGGTATTTATTTTCCAAGTTTAGTACTAAAGTTGACAATTAATTGCACCAATCAATTGCGGGGAATGACCTGTTGTCCAGTGGCTCTTGAAGATACAGCCTGGTTTGAATCTGAACGCACTTGAACCGTGTCGGTGCGAATCAATCGATATGATCGAGTCCGTCCGGAACCGGTCTTGTCGGAATGAAGGAGGAGCAGATTGAAAATGTGAAGGTCGTCCCCGGGAGTCAACCGCGCTGATATGTAAAGGGGGTAGTTATCCATAATTCCGACCTTACCTGCTATTGGTGATAAGACGATCCCGATCCACAGCATCCATGGGAGCCATTGGTGTTTGCATGGTACTGCTATAGCACGGCTGCCCACCGATGACGTCATTTTTTCACGCTGCTTTACAGCTCCGTGATTTATTCACCACAAACGACCCGTGGTGAATTTTCGACACGTTGGTTATTTCTGCAACACGCATACATCCACAAGCTCGCTGAGATCATATGGTCAAGCGGTGGTCTTTCTTGCGTTCGCGTCAAATTCACTTTTCACATTCACAACTCTTCTTTTTTCGGAAGTTATGAATTTTAATGCACTACGCACGTTGTCCACTTCGGTTGGACCCTTACACAATTAAACTTTTCTTCTTTCTTTCCGTCTTCCTTTGCGACTTCGCGGTCCGAGATGATTCGTAAGTTATGAAATCTTGTTTTCTTCTTCCTACGTTCCACCGAAGAAAACCGCACCTTGGTTGACTCAATATTAATGCAAAAATGAGACTTCGTTTCTTCACACTGGCGGCAACTCGGTTCACTCCACCTTCGCCTGCAGATCTCAGATATTCTTCGTTTTATTTTATGTATTTCCCCTAGCGTTACACCACACGTTCATTCGGTTTTGTGTATTTATTTTTTTCGGCCAAAACTTGGCCGCAGCCCACTTCAACGGACACGACTCGGCGCTTATGTAATGACGTAGAAATTGAATTTGGCAACCGTCGAATGACAATTTCTTCTCTTTCGATTGCGACCGGTGATGTAAGGCTGCGACATTTTTTTCGTTCAATTCCACTTAGTTCGGCTTGTCGAATCTTCCAGATGTAAATTCAGAATTCTTCTTATAACCTGGTCCGCATGCCTTTCTGTTCGGTTCGGGTTGAATAGTCTCTACATCCTCGTTGACCGGAATCTGTGGATGAAATAATGGTTTTTTTTGTGTGAATTCATTGCTTCCTTCGTTCGGATGATTGCGGGTGCTTGCTTTTTTTTTAAGAAGTTTGGATGATGTTGTTCATTAGTATTTTTGGCTGCGAGTCGGATTGGATGGATTATATTACTATACATACAACTCCATCAGAGTGCCTATGTCCGTATAAAACCAGCTTTTCGAGCCTCGGGAAGCGAGCAACTAGTGGCACCGTACGTGAGTAGAATAATTTCCATTTGTGGATATTGAGTAACTATGGTTTCGGTTATGTCTTTGGGTACGAGTTGACCACGAGATTATACAACATCCGCTTTACGGGTTTGTTTTGCATAAGGTTTTAAAAAATAATAATAATTTTAAAAACACACATTTACCTTTAAGGTAATTAAGAATAACATCTTAACCTGATTAGCAAACAGAAACGAACTGGTTACAGTTATAGATATAAATTTCCTCTAGAGTTATCCGTTGCTTCACAGCGATATAAATATGAAAAGGCTTAGGCGTTCACTTCCTTGTTCACCCTTTTGTCCGCCTCAAATATTCACAAGCATTCCAAGCGATCAAGGGTTCAAGAATAATCAACAAAGCATCCTATTACACTAACAACCCCGCAGCAATGCTATCGTAATTTTCAGCAACGTCAGGAATGCTCAAGAACCCCCGACATTCAGCCAAATAGCTTACTACTAACTTTAGGTATCTCCCAAATAAGCTCTAAGTTCTTTTTTTTTAAATTAACTGTTAAATTCTGTTCTCTATATCCGTAATACCCGCGCTAGGCTCAAGCCTTTGTAGACTACTGAAAATTACCTTTTTTTCAACTATTACTATTAAATTACATATCAAAAATGTATGTGAAACGGAACGATCCTATTGATTTGTTTACCAAAAATTCAAATAATGGATGTCCGAGAAGTAATCGGAAAAATATAAAAACTGATTTTGGATTTTAAATTAAAATAACATTAAGCGTTTTTATTTACTATTCAGATTCAAGATGTATAAATATACATACATGTAAATATATCAACTTTAGCACTTAACTCCCGTTTTAGATATTTTGGTGAGAATAGAGTATGCGTGGTCCATGAGGTGCTGTCCATGAGACAGCTACATCAGCTGCAATTTTCTTCCAGATCCGTTTAAATATAGACAGATTTTTGGCTGGCATACGCCTTTTAGAGTACTCCTGCATGCAAATCGACCAAAATTGTTCGATAGGTCTTGCCTGTGGCAAGTTTGGCGGATTTTTGGATTTTGGGATAAATTCAATATTTTCTTGTTCAAGGAACTCCGTAGTGTGCCGATGCGAGGTCCGTAGTGTGCTGATGCCAGGTGTGCCGATGCCAGGTCTGGCCAAAATAAAACATTGTTGGTGGAATGATGCTTACGAACGAAAGGAATCAACCTCTTCTTCAGACATTTGATAAGATAAATATCTGCATTTATAGTAACGGTTGTAATATATGGCTCTGAAATATTCTCAAATCGATCTATGGCCTGCCATACAAGGTATTTCTTGAAAAAAAAAAATTGTTTTTTATCTTGGTTTTTTCATCGTAAGAAACATCTTTGGGATTAGAACTGTGATAAAATTTACACTTCATACGTCTCATCGTCAATTATTAGAATTTTTGGCATGATTTGTCGCAGGGTTACTGATATTCGCCTCGTACTATTCGAAAGCGTTTGTCATCTCCGAACGCTTTCAACATAACGGGCTTAACGCTTGCGTTCACGAACGAACCGAATACTGTCATTGATGAGAGCCGAGAGCCTCTGTGAGTGACCGGTGGGTGATGACTTTTCGTGCTGTTCGTGCTGTCTTTCATTCCGTCTTGTTTTATTTTTGTCTTTCTTCAATCCGTTGTATTCGGACGCGATAAGTAACGACAGTGAAGATTCTTCACTGCGAATAGTTTTAATATTCGCCGTGAATATTATTACGTAGTGTTAACGATGAGTGAAAGTGTGAAGCGTCGATCTGGAGCTTTAAAAAGAAAGATTTCTGACGCAGTGGAAGTGATCCGTGGTTCGTCTAGCACAAAATATCGGTGCTTGGCGAACATAGATGCGGAACGAAGGTTGCTACGAGCAAACAAAGTTCAATGGCGCTAACTTTAAGCGGCATTTCATCGGCTGCCACCCGGATGTGGCCCACCGGATGGAGCTTGTAAATGAGAGCAGTAGCCGGGAAGAAACCACCGCAAGGCGCCCAAGATCTGGGTCAAAAGTTCTTGTGGAAACGACCACACAAAATGTGCTCCTTGGAACATTAAAAATGGTGACGGAACATAACCTGCCGCTAAGGTTTCCGGAATGGCAGGGTACAAAACTACTTCTTGGCCCTTTGTGAAAAGCTTGCGGGCTTACAATATCCCGAACACGATTCCAACACTCATCCGCCGTGCTGCAGACATTATGCGACAAAGCATAAGCAATAAATTCTGGCAAAGTCTTGTATGCCTGAAAGTGGACTCGGCCACCCGACACGGACGGTCGGTTTTCGATATAAACGCGTCATTTGTGGACAACAACGGCGTTGTACACATAATCCACCTTGGTAAGTCTATTTTAAATAAACAAACCTACCTAATGCATGCCTTTTAATAAGACTGAGACACGAACGTTGACGAGCACTGAGAAGAACTACGCTCAAATTGAGAAGGAGCTACTCGCTATTATGTTCGCTTCGATCAGTTGGTTGTTGGTAATCCGAAGGTTACAGTGAAAACGGACCACAACCCGTTAATCACTATATTCAATAAATCACTCTTATCAGCGCCACGACGTCTTCAACATATGTTGCTGAATCTTCAACGTTACAACTTGACCATCGAGTTTGTTACGGGTAAGGAAAACGTTGTGGCAGATGCTTTGTCTCGATCTCTATTCGTGAACGAAAATGCTGTGGAAAAATTAAAAAAAAAACTTAATATATTCAGCGTGTTTGATGAAATATCAGAGGTGAAACTTAGTAACTTTCTCAGCATTTCGGACACAAGGCTCACTGAGATAATGGAAGAAACTGGAAAGGATCATTCAATGCAGATCATCATCAGGTACATTCACCAGGGTTGGCTTAGTTCGGTTGATCGTGTGCCAGATAACGTCAAAATTTACTACAATTGCCGCAACGAAGTGTCTACCCAGGACGGTTTGATATTTAGGAACGAACCGTATGTTCTCCTGAGAAAGCTTGTGGATTGCTGTCATATCAGTCACAATGGTGTGGAGGCTACACTGAAGTTAGCAAGAGCGAATTTGTTCTGGCCAGGAATGAGTTCGCAGATCAAGGATGTCGTCAAGGAATGTGCAATTTGTGCTAAATTTGCTGCATCTCACCCGAATCCACCAATGCAAAGCCATAAGATTCCAGTGTACCCTTTCCAGATGGTTTCGATGGATGTGATTTTTGCTGATTACCATGGTCTAAAACGGAAATTTTTAGTTACAGTGGACCATTACTCGGATTTTTACGAGATCAACTTGTTAAAGGATCTGACGCCAGCATCTGTGGTAGCTGCATGTAAGAAAAACTTCGCGCGTCACGGTATTCCACAACTAGTAGTGACGGACAATGGTACAAACTTCGTGAATCAAAAGATTGTGAAGTTTGATCACGTCACGTCTGCACTTCATCATCAACAAGCCAATGGGAAGTCGGAGGCTGCCGTGAAGATAGCTAAGAGGTTGATGAAGAGGGCTGAAGAAAGCGGATTGCATTGGCGCAATATTCCCAACAAGATTGGATCCAGTCCAGCAACTCGTTTGTTTTCCCGTTCAACGCGATGTGGTGTACCGACAAGTGCAACAAACTTGCAACCAAAGGTAGTTGCGAATGTCCCATCGAAGAAAATCGTTAGCGAAACAAGTATCACTATGACAATAAATCAAGATCGTTACCTGTACTACAAACTGGATCACCGCTTTACGTTCAACTCCATTCAGAGACTTCGAAGCTTTGGACTCCTGAAACTGTTTCTGATCGACGTGGACGGAACCGAGTATCGTAGAAGTCTTGTCCATTTGAAGCCGCGTAAGGAACCCGCTACGCAGCACGACCTTTTATCGCCATCCAATTTTTCGAGTCAACCGACAGAATTTTCAACTTCAACCAGTGGAACCGAAAAGAAAGCACCGACTTCTCAAACGATGCCACAGACCACTGGCTGTTTTTTATTTGTGCAGTTCCAGATGATCACGCTTCATTCAGAAGCATTCGCGGATATTATTCGGCTGCGAATCAAGTTGCTGTCAAATTCGCCGAATCATTTTTCGTGCAGTAAGGAACAGTTGGTGAGTGAAGGCCGGCGCACAATAGGTACGTTTTCGGGTTTTTTGACAGTTAGCCCATGCATTATCTGTCAAAAAACCCGAAAACGTATCTATTGTGCGCCGGCCTTGACGCTTGCTAGATTGCGAAAGGTGGTAACTCAGCGAATGACAGATCACAGTAGGAGAAGCGGAAAACAGAAAAGGCACGGGCCATTCGTTGCTCACAAGTATTAGTGCACGAAGAGAAAAGCTTTTACTGCAGCAGAATAATACCGTTGGTGAGATGTAGAAAAGGCGAAACACGATTCGTTGCGAAGATCAGCAACCCTGATTTGTCGAGAACGAATTGAGCTCCTGATTTGGCACGGGCAGCTTGGTCCTTAACATACTTTGGAACGACCTTTTTTGCTCTCGCCTTGATGTGCAATTTGTGTATTTTAATATTACTGAGCGTTGACTTTGGAATTTGCATTTTCGAAGCTAGCTGGGGGACCGAAACATCGCGTTGCTTCTTAAATGCTTTTTCTACGGCACTTACGACACTACCCAAGTAACAATTGTGGTTTTAGGACGGTTCTGTAGACCACAATTCACACTTGTAGATTGCTATAAAACCTCTATAAAACTTGTAATGTTACTTGGGTAGGCGTTGATACGGACACTTGACGGCCTGCGAGTTTTAAGGAAATCAGCTGTACCAG